CCCTGCCGCAGCGGCGCTTGCAGGTATCCTCCGCGGCGGCAGCGCTGGCGGTTTTGGACTCGGCCGTGCGGGCATGGGAGGCGGGTTGCTCCCACCTGACGGCACAGGCGGAGAACTGGTCCCCTCGGCGTTTGGGCCCTCGTCGCCTGGTGCGCCAGGAGATCCTGCACTCCCGGTGGAGCCCTGGTCAAGCGACGCACGCTTGCTTCTGTCTTTCGACACGATCGACTGCAGTGTTGCCAGCGCGGGCGACGGGGCTGGTAGCGACGATGATGCAGAGGAACTGTTTCCCTCGACCTTGGCCTGTGGAGCAATTGTTGAGCCCGAGCGTGGAGGCAGCGGAGGAGGCATAGGTCGAGGTGCAAGGGCCACCTCTGGCTGTGCGCCAGACACAACGGGATGGGCTTCATGATCCTGATCGCGTCCCGAGAACCCCGTCTGCGTCTGGGGTGGCGACTCTGTCCCACGTGGTGCTTGGTTGGGAGACATACTCGGGTTTTTCCATAGCCGGTACACGCTTTGAATCGCGGGCTTTTTCTGGTCCTGCGTTGGGGGCGAGGGAGGAGCGTAGCCCATGGACATCACCTCTCCACGATGACTCGCGTGTATCCCCGGAATGGTCATGGTCTTCGCCTGTGGTGGTTGCGTGTATATCGGCAAAGGGGGCACCTCGGGTTCATCAGGGACGATGGCCGTCGACGCTTCGGCAGATGCTCGTGACTTAGAAGACTCCGTTCTCTGAATAGGAATTGAGGGGGATACAGACCTCGGTTGAGACGACGCGCCTGCACCTTGCTTGGGCGACGCACCCGTCGCCGGAACGTACGGTGACGGGCTTGAGGCGGAAGGCGAGGCGCTGCGCGCCCTTTCCTTGCCCATGTCGTTCTGTGGGATCGAGACAGGGTCGGAGCGAAGGTCAGCTCCTGGCAACTTATCATCAGATGGGCTGCGCTCCTTCTCTTTCCTATGTTCCACAGCGGCCCGCACTTCAGCATAGCTCGGCCTAGGCTTATACGCCCGTATGTCCGACTGCCGCTGTTGATGATCCTCCTGCGATCCGTCAGGCAGGTCCTCGCCACTGCTGGCCCCCGTGTCCTTCCTCAACGAGCTCCAGTTGACACCCCACTTGCGCATGGCTTCCTTGGCGGTGTTGCTTAAAGCCTGTTTGTCCCCCGCCCGCGACTTCAGTGTCTGCAAAAACGCAGCAGTGGAACTCGTAGCAGAAGGGCGATTTGGATTCGAGCCATTAGGAAGAGCGTTCTTGGAACGCCATGATGAAGAGGTCGAAGTCGAGTCCGCTGCTCCGGCTGACGACTCTTCGTCCGATGAGAAGGGCGCTGCTACATCCCGTAATGATGACTGAGAGTGTTGCGACGACGATCGCCGCGCCACACTCGGCGATAGATAGTCCTCGCCCTCCCTCTGGCCGCCCATAGCGTGTGGTGTGTTTTCCTGTGAATCTCCGCCTTGTCCAGTAACTGGAGTAGAACTTGACCTTTGAGATCCCGTGCTCTCCGCTCCGGACGACCTTCCTCTCTGAATAGCATTATCCATGCCAGCCGCATTTGGGGGACTAGAATTGCTCGCCTCAGACTCGTCTTCGCGTGGCGTACCAAACCAACTTCGGCGTCTGGATCCAGAAGAGAGCTGTGGCGTCGATGGAACACTAGAATTTGTGCGGCGTAAGTCTGGTTGTACGTCCTGGGCTTGCAGGATGATTGTCTCAGCTTCCTCAGCTGAATGCGAGCGGTGCATAGCACGAGGTTCTTGCTCCAAAGACACGGACTTTGGCAATTCAACAGCGGGAGCCGATGCCGCTGACTGAGCATCCCCTTGAGAAGTATCGGGCGTAGGTGTAAACGATGAGGAAGACGGCGTGGCGCGCCTGCAAGCATCGGCCCAAATGCCTCCACGATGCTGATATTTCGTGCTTTCAAAAAAGGAAATGTCATCCATGTTGGGCATCACGACTGACTCTTGAATCTTGTGGCAAGTCAGATGGAACAGTTCGACGAACTAAGCAAGCAGTACTCACCACTTCCTTCACTCTTGATTCTATCGTGCTTAGGATCATGCTCCAGGTGAGCTGACGATCACTCACGACCGGCTCGACATCGAGGACCATTCTTGGCATCGTAGTGAAGGCGTACCATATACGACTGCTTGGTGGGCGCTTGACCTTAACTAAGAGGTTCCCTTCTATTTCCCGAATGACCAACGCAAGCACTAGCTTCACCGTATATGTCTTAAATCTAGCCCCTAAATTGATGGTTGCTGTGGCTTCAAAAGTGATACGCACTTCGCCCTTGTAATGTAGATGCAGTTCGAGTGCTGCGTCTCCCTCTTTGGTGAGTTCCTTTAGCATGGGTTTACTTAAGGTTGGCGCCTTGTTGCCCACGGACACCTCCCGAACAACGATGTCAGACAAGAATCCGGGACGCTTCACCTTCGCGATTTTCTTCATCAGTCGGCCGATAATGTATGCTTCTAGAGCATGTGTACGATAGTAACTGAAAAACAACCGACCTAAGAGAGCGTTGAGCCATCGCATAGGAATGACGTCCGGCTGTTCATCCAGAGTCGCTACTAGGTGGGACATATCCACGGGCAGGAAGACTGATTCAAGGGGGGCCAGAGTCGGTGCATTGGCGGGATTGTCTGACGCATGCACGAACGAATGGTACCAGTCCTCCATCTCCACGACCGACCGCACGAAGATGAACCAAGGTGTAGAGATGTCCAACGCTTGATCTCGCGCTTCTTCGCGTTTTCTTTCAGCGTCGACCAGTCTCTCCCGCTCCCGTTGTTTCTGCTTCGGTCCCGCGTCCATTTCTGCCACCTTCTCGTCGATATTCTCTTCCTCCAGCTTCATCTGCTTGGTGACACTGGGCATTTCCTTCTGGGGCAGAGGAGTCTTGGGCTTAAGGCAGATTGCATTGCGCTTGGAGAACAATTCGCCATCGAGAAGACCTTCGGGATAGATGACAATGTCGTGTCCACTGAGTTCGATGGCGCCCTCGCACTCTGTCATGCTCTCGTCCTCGTAGAGATATAGCACCTTGCCTTTGAGGACGACGTACCACATGTCCTTGGGCCGCGAGCGTTTGGCATCCTTAGACCTAGCATCCAAAAAACCCCGCACCATACCGACATAGGAGGCGTCCGAAGGCTGCTCCTCGAACGTCCGGCGCACCGTGAGCCATCCCTTGCGCACCCTCGGCAGATCATTCACGTCGGAAGGCGCGAGCGTGGCCAACGGTGCATCCCCGGACTCGGACTCCTGCCCTGGGTCTTCGACATTCTTGGCGCGTGTATTGGTTTCGGCAACAGGCTCGGAGGTATAGATGGTGTAGAAAATGGCTCCGATAATGAGGAGCGGAATAAAGGTGATTCCGCCGAGAACATAAGCATATAGGAGAGCCTTGAGTGACATGGCGCCTGTCTGCGAAGTTCAGGAGGCGGTTTGGGTGAAGACCATACAAAGGAGGGTCAAATCGCGCAGGAGTGGAGTGGGCAAGGTGCGCTCGCGGTGATGCGGGCTACTGGTGGCAATGTGCTCAACAGGCGCTTCGCTTTTCCACGTGCTTCTCGGACCCATGACTGACGTTCCCGACACCGTGACGATCATGTCCGGGTTACAACGGATACTTACTATTACTAGTTTCGCTCACTAGACAATAGCATAAATATTTTCGACCCGGTGCACACAAGGAGAGGCCATTGAGAGAGAAACAAAGGGACAAGTTGCCAAACCATGTTTTCAAGCAAATTTATTCTCTTACTGTACAGCATCTGTACTACCGAACTACTCGCACAAGCGATGGATCTGAGGTTTATCCCTCATCCTCGATTAGTACGACGCCCGCATATATCTTCTTGTCGTAAGGACAACGTTCACATCAAAGCAAGTATTGACGACTAAGAGGAGATGGCACTACTATAAGAGCATATTGAACCCAACCATGGTGTAACACACGCACCGAATGTGTTTCCATCGTGAATGTCCCTTCCAAAGCGCTATTTGTAAAAACATGCGACTACGGTTGTGGTACCCCTCGTATAATCCCGCGGCCTGACTACACTCCCGGCCCATATCTTTTAAATTTTGGGCAGGCATTCGCGAATTCGGGAGCATGTCTCCAAACATGGGTTTAAGGGGGATTCACAATGCCAATAAGCTTCCGAAGCTATCTCCAGTGAGTCTGTACGAGAGGGCTGACTTAGCGGAGAAGACACTGATAGCGAGAAAGTAGCTCGTAAACGCGTATTTCCCATCGTCATCTCGATAGCACATGGCTGCTTTGACATAGAATGCACCGGCATCTTGGAAGTTTTCGTTCGCCATGTCTACGTTGTCTTCCTTAGCATTCATACCCATCTTCATATGACAGAACCCCAGTGCCTTAACCCCAAGTCAGTTCGGGGGTCTTGGCCGTAGAGACTGAATACGCACGCATACGCAGCTCCTAATGCATGCCGGGAGAACGAGAGATAGAAACTGGGATCGATTTCGTGCAAATCGATAATTGGGTTATCCCTCGTCTCGTCGATCAAGCTTTGAGCTTTAGCCACGATATCCTCAAGAGCAATATCTATATCTGGATCCCCCCCACTCCCGCAGATAAGCCTCCAGTTGGAGCCGCTTGACACCTCGGATGAATGTTTTCTCTAAAAGACGTCCGCGAGTATCTCTGGGAATGCCTTTCCATGTCCTTGCTCCCCAGTCCAACATCGTGACCGCGGCGTCATATAACTCCAGGCCGAGCCGCTGGACCGTCTGTGTGGATGTTATAGTTCATAAAAGCAAATAAAACCCAATTTCTATGGAAATGGGACAATGTGAACCGCCTGGGCAATACGGTAGCATGAATCCGGGTAAGCGCCTCACAGTGAATGCTATAGCTGATTGAACGGAATTCCAACCTTCTCGTTTCAGGCGTGTGGGTATTTCCTCGATGACCGTTGCTGCTCCGCTCGAAGGCCAAGCTCGCGTTATTTCGCCCTCGAGCTCGACTCAAAGATATTCACTGATACATAAAAGGACCCACGGTAAACCACGAACCTTGTCTGTTGAGCATTTCATTCCATGGTGTTCTATCCTCCACATAGATGGCTCGTTCGTCTTGAAGAATGGCGTTGACGAGATCGTCGAGCACTTTAAAGTGTAGGAGTTCATGAAGAATCTTGAATATTATAGATGGGGCGTATACCGAGCCTTCCGCCAATGCGGCCGTCTTCCCATCTATTTTGCTTCATTGCTTCTCTGCCAAAGATGAAGTCTCATGAGTTTGAGATAAGATACAAATCTGCACAGTAAAACAGATCTGACCGACCCTGTGTGCATTCATGATGACCCATGCCTGTTCCAGGCCCATGCATTCAAATGAGAAATCTGAATTATTTTACAGAAAATGTTACCATCACGCACATGATTTAGCTGTTCCCTAGTGAGCTCTTTCTCCATAGCGAGTGCTCTCCGCCAGGGCAGTCTTTTGTCCGCGATAGCGTCCTTTCCTAGAATGACTGAATTCTTCACCGCGGTCCTTTCGCTACGTTCGTTTCTTTCGACATTGTCCTTCTCGGCGGCCTTCAGCCTCTCTTGGTATTGCCGCTTAAGTCTGAGATCAGACTCTGAGAGGTTCGAATTCGGAAGACAGGTTAGAGCCTTTTTCCAAGCTGCTATGCTCTTTTCGTACAAAAATAGCTCCTGGCACAACAATGATTGTAGAATGAGAGGAATCTAAGTTCAACGTGATAGGAGGGTCTACCATGGCTAGAGGCCGCAAGCCGGGCCCATCCTGGAGTCGAGTACTGTGGGTCCAAATAGTGGCCTGAATCGATCGATGGATTTGTAGAAAATTATGTCGAGCACAACAGCATTGCAACAGCACGACACACCTTGAACGCATCCGAACTAGCATCAAGACAACTGAATCCAATATAGTGGCCATGAATCGCCGCTTTGATGTGATGTACAATCTATCGCACACATCCGGACTTTCTCAGACGCAAAAAAACAGGCGGCACGATTGGCAAACAGGACGGCGCTTTCACTGTCAGCCTGATAGCCTCAAATGAGTTCGACACGTCTGGGTACGAGAATACGAACAAGCAGCCTGGTGTTTGCCTTTTGCATAAGCGCACTGCCCTCGAGTTTCTGTACTTCTGCCTTCACCTTTTTCGCGCCTGAGGTGGATTCAGACATTGTTATGATACAACAAGAGACTGCATGGCCCTGAATTGCTGGAGCTGTATAGTCGACGATCGAACACGTTCTAATTGCCGTACTAAGTGAAGGCTTCTCGCCTTTTACCACATATGGCTATCCAAATGCCATATAAAGCGATCTCTGCGCGACCGGTTTACACTGACCCCCTATGCTCTGCCTAGGTTTTGCTACCGTCTGGGTTTTCTCCGAATATTACAAGGAGAAATTTGACTACGCACACTACCGCTTGAGAAGATAATAATGAAATTTCAAATGAGAGGAAAGTAGCAACACCACGGGATCCCCCATGCCAGCCTAAAGAACATACACGACGACGATTTAGAACGTGGGCGAAGGCACAGGGAATATCAGGAAGCAAAACCATTACAGGAGTACCCTTCCCACTCGAGCACCCCACCTACACAATCGCGGACATCCACTATTACGCGATGTTACATAACACACACGCCTGCATGCTGCAAGCGCAACATGACATGCTCACTCAGCAACGACCAGACCACCCATGGCCCTCTGCATCTCCGCCATGCCATTGCCAGAGCCGCTCACCATACGGGGACCGAGGCCAGGATGTCTGACGCCCAGCGCTGCTCCGAGCATTCTCTTGCCTGGATCTCCAATACGTGGGGCGCCATGTTCGGGTAATGCGGCAATGATGGCCGGGTCCATTGCGGTTGGATCGATAGCGGTGACATCGCTACCCAAGGAAGATGAAATGAGGGAGTTAAGAGTCGGATGTGACGGGATGTTAGGCAGGGTTGGCGACGGCTCGCGATCCCGCGGCGAAACAGACGCCGTGCGGTCGACGCCGCTGATGTTGAGACTGACGGAAGTGTTGCGAGGCATGGTGCTCACAGAGGCACCTCGTGCATGCGAGACTGAGTTGCGTACGTTATGACCACGGGCGTTGCCATTGTGTTGTCGCGAGTTCACATTTTGAATGACTGCCTGTGCATCCGGTCCATCGTACGGTTTAATAACGGCTGTCTGAGTGGAATTGGGAGAGGAGAATATTGCGGGAGTGAAGGCAAGAGCGTGCAGATAAGCGCGTTTAGCTGCAATGTATGGATACCATTGAGTAAGGCGATGAACCGAGAGATCAAAGTCGTGCAACTTCGTTCCAGAGCAGCACGACCTAGATAGCATTGACTGGGGTCACTTACCGACGGTGGCATCGTTGAAAACAATCAGGAGGCTAGTGTCATCGATCCACTTAATCTTGAAGCCCCCATTTACGGTTTCCCATTCAGCAAAAGCCGCCTGAATGTCCCTTGTCTTCAGCTCCTTCGGAAAGCCTGTTAAGGCAAGAATACGCGTGACACACGCGGAGAGTTGGGAGAGGGAAGATGCCATGGAGATAATAGGTGATCGTCAATGAGGTGGCAATGAGTTAAACCACTGTAGGATGAAAGGAGTCAATGCCAGCAGAGGCGGGGAGGTGCGGGGGTGTGAGGACTGATGAAGTTAAAGTATGCAGATATGTGTATGAAGCTGGTCCAGTTTTTGCGAGGAACGAATGAGGGGTTGGTGTTGTACAGAAGATAGCCACAAGACAGCGAGGAGAAAAGCAGGATTCACTGGCGAAACGACAAGTCAAGCCCGCGTGCGCAGGACATCAGTCGCAGCCTAGCAATTGTTCTCACGCCACTGCCCCTCCTTCAGCCTAAAATCATGTCTAAATTTCTCGAACATATCAAAGCGTTGGGCACGGATTAATGTTGTAGCGTCTGTACTGCAAGAACACAGGCCGCACTTTGATATCCCTATGGGTCAGGTTCAATGGTGTGCACAGTGCGCACTCAGCGTGCTGTATCGCCTGTCCGTGACTTATCTGGCAATAATCTCTGTAAATATTCCCCGCCTCGTCACCCTCCGATTCAGTCAGGGTTCAACAGGGCAGAGTGACTAGTGGTTTAGAGCCGGACAGAATACACTCGTAGTCCGACAGAATCGGTCAACAGCCAGATCAGACCCGAGAGAGAAATTGGATGGACGACTCCCATGCAAAAACCTCATTAACCCACGAGTGTGGAAATTCGCAAGCTTGGCCGCCCTGAGAACCATACCCCGCGTTCTCATTCCTACCCGCGAGTTCCGCCAATCCACCATTTCTCTAACTTCAAATGTACCATGACATGGACTCTGAGCTCCTCCGCGCATGGCAACTTCTGCATGATCTGAGCGAGCAGAACGCTCAAAACCACAAGCTAGCACTCGGGTTGCGACAACAGACCGGCACCCTCAAGGTACGCCTCGCACCACTCTGCACTCTAACGGATCTGTCATACATGCTCAAGTGATCCAGGATGAAGCCGCGCATTCTGTCAGTGGGTTCTCCTTGAGGAGATTCAACACCGATATATCCAAGGGTATGTGGCCAAATGCTTACTGGATGCGCACGGTGTGCTGAATTATCTCCTTCAGAGACGTTTGAGTCTGAGTTGGAGCGCGCGAATGCGCAAATCATCATAGAGAACCATACGCTCCTCCACGAGAACAGGCAACTCAGTCTTCTGCTCAAGGAGTATGAGCAGACGATGGAGACTATCATGTCGAAATTTCGCAGCCATGCGGTACGCATATGTTCCATGCCCCCACGGCGAATTCAGCTCAGACGTCTCAACCACCATAGCTCGCAGCACAGCGACATGAGCTCACTCTCACACAGCATTATGAGGGACTCATTATCGCTCGCGAGACCTCGCTCATGCAAGCCGACCTATCAAATAACACCACCGTCTCCGAATCCCTACAACGCCTCTCAGAAAACCTTCGCTTACTGCTCCGAAGCCTCAGCGGCGAGGATCCCGAATCCGCCGACGCTCGCCAAGGCGATCAAAACAGCACAGAGTCAGATAGCAACGAGTCGCGCCATACACCCTTTGATGACGAGCTGCTCGACGGCCTGCTCAGTCGCGATGACTGGGCACTAGAGCGCGAGAGCGAGATTGAGCGGCTAGAAAAGGAGAACGAGGAATTGCGCAAAGCCCTGGGGATCGATCGCGCATCTGCAGAGGCCAACGGCTGGCTGCAAGACGAGGCCCGCGAGCTCGCGACCTTGAACAAACGCTATTCGCCCATGCCCAGAGAAGGGAGCCCGGGTCCCAGCCTGTTCAGCGGGCCACGGTCGCCGGGAGGCGTTTTCGATTCGCTTCCGCTGAGTGGGGGAGCGAGTGGACTGAACGGCAGTATGATGTCCTCGGGGAACCTATTGCAAAGGGCGTCGGAATTCCAGCAGCCGGGTATGCGTGGAACGCAGGGCCGTCGGACATCAATGTTTGGACAGCGGGGACGTGGTGGAGGACCACAGCTCTGGGAGGGTTTGGGTCATCAAGCACTTTCTGATAGAACATGGCAGGCCCCGAGTGGTTTAGATTTGAGTCGGTGAATGTTGAGCACCCATGTGTCGTATTTCCCGTTCATCATTATTTTTCGGGGCTTTCTTGTCTTCTAGTCCTACTGCAGTGTTGCACGCTCATTGTTCAGGTGTGTCGATGGCTCATCCGCTCAAGTCAGAAAGTTCAAGGAACAGAGAAGACGACCTGTATTAACAATACCACAAACCACGGGGTATATACTGCTACAACATGTACACGACGACCATCTAGGATGCATAGCACGACAACTGAACAGAATGCTGTATCAACATGATTAAAGCATTAACCTAGGTGTAGCCGAGAGCCTCATGAGCTATAAACACAGTCCATAAAAAGTTCACCTATACCACTGGAAAAGATAGAACAGAGGATTAAAAGACAGCGGCGCTGACCTCCCAGCCCAGCGAGCTTCGTCCAATACCCTCCCAGGCGACCCCCACAAGCTTCTCCTTGCCTGCACTCATGCGCCCATCCCGTGCACGTCCCTCCCAGGTAAGAGCACGTCCCGTGCAAACATTCTGCAGGGCCTGCAAGCGGAGAAGCAGAGGATTCGCAACAGGTCGCAGGCGTGGCAAGCTCGGGGATCCTGGGAGCGGTTGCGCGACACGGAACGGCGAGCGCGGCGTGGGTGCAGGCAGGGGAAATACGCGCGAATGCGGCGGAACCGTGTGCGCTGCCGGGAGACGGGGAGTCAGAGGGATAAGAGTGCGCGTAGGCTGCAACGAATCAGATTGCTCCTCCCCAGGAGAGGAGAGGAAGACATGAACGTCTAATGCAAGTGCACGGCAACCCTCCGGCCGCAGCCTGCTACTTCGCCCCGAGTACCCGTTTGAGGAAGCAGCCTTCGGAGAGCGGGACGGAGAGCGAGAAGGAGAACTATCGCGGGAGTCAGAGCGGGACCGAGGAATGGGATCTATCCCAACACTGAACATCGTCGCCTTCACGTATGCTCTTTGGAACTGTGCTGCCATGTCCATCAAGGACGACACGGAGCGACTTACGCGCTGCACTAGCCCATTTTCACCATCTATTCGCAAGTCGCAAGACGAAAGCACAGATATTCTCCGCGTACGTGCGCGTCCACGAGAAGCAGTAACTGGTGCTGGCTTTTCGGGATTCACGGGTGTTGGCGAGCAGAGTGGGTGTTCAGAGGACGATACCCGGACAAGCGCAGGATGCCGACAAGCATGGCGAATAACCGTCGTCTCTGCACGAAGCGGCGACGGTAAGAAGACAGGTGATGGGGAGAGGCAAGGTGACTTCACAGACAGCAATGATGACGAAGGGCTGGTGATGGCGGTCGACATGGATGAACGAGAGTCGCGACTACCGAAGGAGAACCAGGAATGGGAACGAGTGATGGTAGAGACTGAAGTCGATGCTATCGCAGAAACAGATGTCGACGTGGAACTATGCGAGTGAGCTACGCACGCTGACACAGTGACGCAGCGCTGGTTCGTCCGTGGATCTTCCCGTACAATACTGTTTGGTCTGGAAAGCTCACTCTCTCCCCATTCTGCAGTCTCAAACATGCTATCGAACAGTTCCCTTTGGGATGTGCTCAACTTCGCGCGCGACCGCGAACTTGGACCATCATTCTGGGGAAACAGAGGTCCGCTCATGCTGACTATCACGTCAGCAAAAGGAACGGCTCGGGAGAGGCTCTGGAAGTGCTGAACCGCGAGTTCGTGGCGTAAACGGGGAAGGGTGAGTTCGTTCGTGTCCGGAGTGGTGGGAGGAGATATGCTGTACGAGGAGGACGGCGAACGAGCAGGACTAAAGGGTATCACAAAATACTCTAGAGTGTCGTCCTCGACCATTGGAGGTGAAGGCTGATGCTGAGCTCGCCGCTCGCATGACAGGGTGCTATAGTCCAGCAAGGGGCGTTGCGTCTGGGGGTTAATGCGCACCTGTCGCGTGTGCCGCAGCTGCTCTTGCTCACGCTCTCTGGTCTCCCTGTCCTTTGCCTCTTTCTCCAGCCTCCTCCGCTGTCTCGCTTCCTCTTCTTTTCTTCTGGCGACCTTTGCCTTCTCTTCCTGCAACCACTTAGCGCTTGCCTCCCAAAGCCGCTGGCAGGCTCTCAACTTCTCTTCTCGTCTTCGTCGCTGAAGCCTCTCCCGCTCTCTCTTCTGGCCATCTCTGCACCGTTGCTCGTCGGCTTCCTCGAGTGAGAGGCCGCCCGGAGGTACGAAGGAGCTGGTGAAATCCTCGTCCTTGACGGCGGCTATGCGTGGATCGTCGTCACCTGTGACCTCAATGCCGTGCATCTTCAAGTACAAGATCTTGGCGAGATGAATGTTGTCGAGTGCATATGCGACCTGCATCTGGTCTTTCAGGGTGCGTGGGGGAGATGGTGGTCGGTCGTAGTAGTCGACGGGGGCAAGCACGGAGTATGGGTGGAAGTAGCTGTCGCCGTGTTCTGGGGGGGTGAGTGGCTCGAGAGGCGATGGCTCGGGAGACAAGGAGGCAACAGAGCTAGAGAAAGGGGGGTGCAAGAAAGCAGCGTCAACAGAAGAAGAGGATAGAAGAGGAGGGGATGCGGACATGGGGAGCGACGGCAGGCGGGAAGTTGAAGCCACAGGGGATTCGGCTGTGGGCGTGGAGTTGAGAGAGCGGCGCGTGTGCGGCAAATGAGTGTGGCTAGAGGGCGCTGGGCCACACATGGAGGGATGCTTGAGGAGATTAGATTGTGGGACGAGGGAGACGGATATGTGTGCGCGGAAGGGATGGTCGTTTGGTTTGCCAGCGAGGGCGATGGGAGACACATCTCGAGAGCGGCCGCGGCGGTGCATCGCAACAGACACAGGCGGGATGGATGGCTGGATGGATGGATGGAGGGTATCAGCAGGGAGATATCAGCAGGAGAGATATCAGGGTCCGGAGGAGGGAAGGGGGAGGAGGTGACGGAATGGATGAAGCTTATACCTCTTGATTGACCCGTTCTTCAGCCAGAGCGGTGCACTCCGGGCCACGCGACAGCTGGATCATGCAGCCAGCCTCGAGGCAGCGCTTCGCGATGGGCGGGTCTGAGGCCGCACAGCGAGGCGAGGGAGGAGAGCACAGCGGGGACGGTCGTCGCCCAACTCGAGCAGCAGGAGACGCGTCCGTCGTCGTCGTCGTCGCTGCTAGCGTTCTTATTTTCTGCGACCGCCCTTTCCGCGCCCGCGGTGGTCGCGCGCTCATTGGCCGATAGTGACTTTCCTTATTCGGCCACTCATCCACGCTCGCCGTGTTTGGACCGAGACTGCTCTCGCTCGTCTGCTGACCGTCCTTCCTCCTCCCCTCCTTCAGCGGCGTGTTGCCCCAGCATCCCTTTACTTTCCTAGCCGTTCGCGCCTGCCCCCCTCCCCTTGATCTCCTCTCTCACACAAATCAACGCCAGTATCGATCACAGCCAACGCGACGCCTCTGTTACAGCATCGCCGATATACACAAATGGTACTACATTTTCGCCTCATGTTATTGGCTGCTGTCAGAGCATAATGTGGCCGCCCTACTCCGGGCCAATAATCACGGCATAATTCAGAGTATATGCGCGTTAAACTCTCGCCTTCATCTCTACCGCCATGTCTCATGCTCATCAACCCGTACGCTGTGCCTGTCGACCCTCTCCAACTCCAGTCCATTTTGCTCCCGTTCCCGCGATCTCCCCGCCCCATTCGGTCTCTCCTCCCGCCACTCTCCCATCCGGCACCGAGCATAATCCATCCGCGACCACCTTTTCCGCGCATTTGTCACTGCTCGCACCGGCATTTGCCTTTGTAATGGCTCTCGTATTTCCCCCGGAATATCCATTCGCGTCTCGCGCATCCTACCAAGATCCTCCCAGGCTGTCGTCCAGAACAGGTTCCTTGTCCCTGCACGCTACATCCTTTCATCTCACGTATCATGTAATTCGCCCGCTCTTCGGATTATGTGATTGTCAACTTCGATTTCTTGCCGGTCGGTCCTCCCCTACGTCTTATCCCAGGCGTCCCCTCGTGCTCTTTTAATTCTTCGACGTCGAACATCGCAGTCTCCACTCTTCAGGTGCATGGGTCGGACGCTGTGGAATATTGTTCACCAGCACCCAAAAATCGCCTCTAGACTCGGCCTTACTTATCTTGGTCTGTCTTTATCTAATCATGTTTTGCGATTTACAAACAAACACCTCGTGAATATGGGTTGCAACCCCATAAGCGCCACCTTAGCTCCGTCAACAGCCACCGCATACGTATCTGTGTTATCTTCCTGCAACATGTCCTTGTCTATCCCCACTTGTTGCTCAGAAACCTGCAGCGTGGTCGCGGGCTGGCCGTACGCGTATGTCATCCTCAGCTCGAGTGCACAAACACGTGTATCCGCGTGTATCTAAGACTACTGCCCCATTGATGGATACCTGTTCTCCCCGCGTCTTATATCGGTCGATAACTGCTCAGCAGCTGCTGCGCCAGCGGCTACTAATACTGTTGAACTGGCTGGCATCACGGGTACCCATCAGATCGACTGTGGACGAGCTCGCGGCTCGTCGTACGGCGACTTATCCTGGTACAGAAGACTCAGCGGGCACGCCGCTCGCCAGGAACATGTGTATACCGCGAGGCGTCTGTCACTCAGGGCGCAGTTGTCACAGTTGACTCTAGTCTAACGCGATGGCAAATGCCTGAACCAACAGTGTTTTCGTGCTATGTCCGCTGGTGATCGGGTGGTTTCAAGGGCGATGTAGTCGACCGCCCGCATGATGACGCTGGCGCATCCTCGCGCAGAACTGGTGTTGCAGGTCCATCGTGACCATGTCACTATGGTCTGTTGGGTTGCTGTATGCTGTGTATGATCCCCTAAAGTGCATCCCGTCCGGCAAGAGACATCTGTGTCGACACCAGATTATGGTTTGGATGTCGGTGCTGGTTATTCCAACCGCTACCTCTAGTATGTCTTGCACGCGGTGGTCGAATCCGTCACCGGACTTGGAATGAGCACCTCATGGTCGACGCGAGTCGTATCAGTGATATATATTGCATCAAGATGAATGCCTATGTTTGCCAACGAGTCCGCATGGTTTTCTATTTGGAGAGCAGAGGCCCTGCTGGCGACTCGCTGACCAACATAAAATACAGTAGATCCGTTCATTATCATGCTGTTCTTCCTCCGTGTGTGCCCCCAGCCCATCCATAATCGATCGCGCTGCGATCAGGTACACGCTGCACGCTCGAAGCTGCGAGCGCTGCCTCTCCCGCTGCCACCTCCGCATGTGTGAAACCTAGCGTGCGTAATTACCTCTGCGACGATCACGACGAGCCTCTACATCCTTCATCTCGCTGGGTGAACACGCTGCATGGCAGCATGCGGCCGGTCTCACTTTACCAGCGGAGATGACCCGGGATTCTGGCCGACTGTGGTCTCGCGAACTCTCGAAGCCGAATATCATGTTTCTTAGAAATTCTACATTTGGCCCACCAGCGCGCGGGGTTATTCTGTGGGGAAGCCGACGTACTATTTCCGTGCTTGCGAGAATCTCATCCAGGAGCCATTGATGGATCCATATGGCTTGCCATAAGAATATCGATGACTTGCTGTTGCAGCGATCCGCTACGTCCGACGACGGGTTCGCATCGTGCAAGTTTGTTCTTCGTGCGTCACGCCTGTGTCTTGTGGTCCCGACGAACTGAGACTGAATGGAGGAGCTGGCCCGGCACGTCATGGCCACACAAAGCTCGGGACTGCGTGTTTTCCATGCCCCGCGGTACGTCTGTTCATCCACCATCGGGACTATCTCTCATGAGTCATGAGCAGCACCCTCGTTCTCCTCGCTCCATCGGATAGTTCTTGATGTCATCGGCCAGACCACCGATATGCAGCGAAGTGCGAAATTTTGCTCACGAGCTCCACCATTGTGATCCCAGTCGGGCATCGCATCCGCGTTCCCAATCGTATCTGCTGTCCACCCAGTGGCCCCACCCCCCGCGCCGTCGCCGCTCACGCTCGGTCTTCTCTCGACATCACTGCATTATCCGTTTCTCGATATTGGTCGTCTAGCTCCGGCCCGCGTGCGCAAAATCGATGCTCAGTGGCAGTGTCACACATGGTTTGTCCGGGCATACCTCGCATCGACAAATCGATAAGTTTGTATTGCAGGGGCGGTTATGAACGCGGTCTCTGCTATGACGTTTCCGGTCGTATCGAACCACAGACAAGGAATCCCTCAACATCATGAGCGCGCGGCGTTCGCCCGGGACGTAGGAGGCTTATCTTTCTGGATCCTGCTGCCGCCCTTCGTCCAATGCCTTGGTTCACCATAGGGTCCTTTATCTACGCGCTGACCATATACATCCGTGATATCTGTCAGTGTGGATGTCGACTTTTAGGCTATTACGGCTCGGCGCTGGTGCCACCATCACGGTCGTGTCCACAACCACGATGGATACCCGGATGGAGACAGGTAGCTCGATTGGCGTGAGTGGTTATTACGAAGAGATGTAATATTTCGATGTCGCGCGGAACACTGCGCTGTGCTTACCCACCTTCTCAAGAACTGCGCTGATCACAGTCGTATGGACAAGAACTAGCGGCTCCCGCCACGGAGCGCAACATCTGATATTAAACCGGTAATTGGAAACTACAATCATTCAGAAGTACCATAGCCAGATAAATACAACCATTTGTCCAAGAATTTGAGAATGAGAAGCACGTTCGTGCGCAATTACGGATGAGAAAATTGATGGAAAGTGAATATTGTACGACGAACTATTGAACGAATGACAAACAGAACATCTCGGCTATAACAATTAAATTAAGTAATAATAATTGCTAAGTCATTGAAGGATGTCAATAGTGAAAGTAAGCATGCAGGAAAACGCGAAAGCGGCGCGATGCAAGGCACGATGGCCTTCGTTATAGCGACAACAGCACAAGTGCAGCCCCTGCGCAAATAGCTGACGGATCAGTAGTATGACTGTAATGCCGAGCAACGGCGATGGAGATAAGGTCAGACATACTTCTTATATCTCTAAGCTCGCGCCGTTACTCGTGAGTCTGGTTGTCATCCCCGTGCGACCGCTGACTTGACCTGTGCATTTGACCGGATCATAGTCAGTGCGGTCAATGGCCCAGGTAGACTTGTCGTGTTGGAGAGTCGTCCCGAGCCGGTTGGCTTCCCATACAGAAGCAAGCTGGGCGGGGAAGTGAGGTGCCTGGGGCCAGTAGGCGATAGTAGGGTCCTCCCATGGCTGTCCGTGGCTGCGAACCATCGGATGGTAGACAGGTGCTAGTGGCGCATTGAAGGTTTGACCACCTAGTATGTACGCATGGTTCGGATGCTGTTCTTGAAGGTGCCATTCTTCATTATGGGTTGCAGAGCCTAACATTTCCATTTCTGCAGTTGGATTCCGGGACTTGAGCACAGGGCTTTCCAGAATGTCACCAAGTTTCAGCACAGGACTTGAGGTGTAATACCGGGCATGGTCGCCCGGCCAAGACTTTGAGGAACCTACACCAGTATCAGAAGGGAGGTCGGGCGTTGGAGCACAGGAAGAGTCTAAGGAGCTGGTATGAGACTGTCCATCGAAATCAGGGCGGGATGCAGAACGGAAGTCTCCGCGATAGATGCTATGAATCTCTGGAGTTACCACACTGGTGGGAGGCAGGGAAACAGCCGAACGGGCAGTAGTCGCCGAGTTCCGCCCATTCGTAGAACTCTGTTCCACGGAACCTGTGGGTTCTGGGAGAAGTCGCTCGTAGTACAATTGGGTCTGATGAGACATGAAGGCCTTATACGTGCCGACCGATTCTTGAATACCACAAGCAGGGCCTAGTACATGAGAAAGGCTGTCATAGATAGCTCTGCGTTCAGCCCCAGAAAGAACATTGCCGTCGCCAATAGATAGAAGAGAGTCGAGATTATTACGAATAGCATTATTTGTCGGTGAAACTTGCGTTGTGCTTTGGTCGGACGATGCAGATACTTCTGGCTTACCGGGAGATAAATGAAGGTAAAAGTTGGAAACATTTTCTTGAATCGGGTAGTCCGTAAGGGGGGCAACGTTCATCTGAAAACCTTGATAACTCGGAAGCGAATACGATGGATTAAACAACGGGTTAATAGGGAAAGGAATATGTCTGCCTTGGGGGAAATCACTACTTGCATTAGTCCTCGGTATATTGATAGTATCCATATGAGTTTGGGACAAAGTGCAGTTATTAGAACAACAATCGCCATGCCCCAATGACATGCGCGACGGCTGTTCAAAAACCGTATTCAGCTGCAAGATAGGTCAGTAAGATCTACGACAAAATCACGACGCTAGATAAGAGAACACCTGTTGGCGCGATATATCTGGCCGGGCAACGTCGGCAATACGCTTTTCCTCCTTCGTGACTCGTAATCCTTTGCTATGGAACCAGTCATAGATATGTCGCCGATTAATGCCGTACCGTTGCTGTATGGCCTGCCGCACGGAAAATGGTGGCATTTCTGTCATCCCGGGAACCAGTAAAGCTTCGAGCTCCTTGACGAGCTCCGGGCCAAGGCGCACCGCAAGACTCTCGGGATTGACGCGTCTTTTGAAACTAGGAGTCGAGATGGACGCGTCAGAACTCGCAAGGGATCGCCCACTGCGTCTGGGGCCAGAAGACAGAGATGAAATCGCGCTCGGCGCATAGTTCGGTAGTGAGACGCGTCTGGATGCAAGTAGGGGGTCGCAGTGAGTGGCAGATTTTGGCATTTTATCTCAATGTTGTAATGGGTATACAGGATCAAAGAAACGACAAGCTTTGTAGGGGGGCTAGCTCGAGAGGAGAAAGGATTCGTGCTGAATACAAATGTCGGATTAGAGCCAGTCACTTGTAACTTACGCCGCGCCAGGCTGGTGCCAAGGGTCTGTCCTATACGCAGGACCTCGGACACTGCAGATGGTTATCTCCACTTGACCGAGTTCACGCTGGACGCATCTGTCTGCCTGAGTAGGTGAAGGGGGGAGTACTCTACGACCCGTGGCTTCGATTCAAAGCCAAACGAGTATAGTGTCCGTGTATATTATCGCCGTATCATATATGTTCACCTCTATCATTACCACGTCCGCTTCACAACTCGCTCTGTCAATGCCTCCAGTGCACCCTTCGCGTCGCTGTCCGGCAACAACACCAGTACCTCTCGAGCCTTGTCCGCATGGTTTCGAGCTAGATCTCGGGTTCGCTCTACACCCGACGACCGTCGTACAAGGTCCCTTGCCTACCGCGAGTTCACAGCGCATAGGTGAGAAACGGCTGGAGATAGCGCATATAGGACGGACGCACCAGTTCAACGTCACCTTCTTGCTGGAACTTCCGCTTTATGAGTGGCCCCATCTCTGGGTGTTCTTCCCAAGCGAACAGGGCGGGTCCTGTTGCAAGTCCCAGCTGCAAATCGGCGCCGCCTGGCTTTCCCAATGCCGCCTCACCAGACTCATAGTCCAGGATATCGTCCACAAGCTGGCCGATCCGATCAGCCTCGCCTAGAGGAGACGGAGAAGTTACAATTCCCGCATATGACGCACCTGGAACGCGATGCCGAGGTTACGCCCGTAAGCATATGCTATCTCCTTCCAAATTTCACCCTCCTTGCAACCGCCAAGCACGACAGCAGCCCGCGCGCCTTTCGCCATCAGACTCGCCGTTTTCATGTACGTCTTCTGCAGGTAGATGTTGAAGTATTCCCGCCCAACGGCTGGCGCGCCGGTGATTCCCAGTTCCTCGCCGTGGATGGACTTGAGCTGGAGGATTTCTCCCTCAACCAGGTTGGCGATGACACTTGCAATGAGCTCAACCACTTCATTGCTACCCAGACGGGATAGCGCAGCACTAGTGCGACCAAGAAGGAAGTCGCCAGCCAGGACAGAGAGTTTGTTCCCAAACGCGGCTGGCGCCGACAGCGTACCCCGACGAAGGGGTGATTTGTCTATGACATCGTCATGCAATAGCGAGGCGACATGAATCATCTCTACAATCTGTGCGAGACGAATCTGCGTAGGAAGAAGGAATGGTGGTGAAGACAACACTGGGCTGTTATTCGCGAAGGATGCTGGGGGCGGTATAGGGAGCTTTCTCGGATGCGGGGGTGCTTTCAAAGAAAAGGAATCTTCGAAAGACGCAGTGTGGTCGGGCATGCTCGGATTATAGTCGTTCAGCACGTCCGCACGCGTTAGAGGCCGGTCCAGCTCTTCCGATCGCCCTCCCGCACCCTCACACTCGGCTGCCCACCTCTTGATATGCCACCCGTTCCCCAGTCCATTCGTAGCTTGTGAGAACAGTAGCACTAGAAGGGGTCTGAGCTGTTTTGAGGGATGGAGGAAGTAGTATTTTGCTATTTCGCTGAGACCAGGATGCGCTGAGCCGAGGAGGTTGAGAAGTGTTTCCCGGACATTGTGTAATTGAGGTGCTAGCAACTTATAAGGGTCAGGGCGTACATGCGACGTAGCAGCGAGTGGTGGTGGAGGATCCAAGAAGGGTTCTGCATGCTGTGCAGTTGCTAGAGACTGCGCTGGAAACGACCTCTTTTGCTGTGTGTGGCCGCTATACGTTCGAGAGAATCGCGGAGTCGGGGAGGTTCGAGAAGAGCTCGGCTGACAAGAAACGCGCACAGCTGCGACAGACCATCGTCTCATGACGAGAAACGCGACGGCGGATGGCGGATGACGGAGAGAGTAGGGAGGATGGGCGCGCCGAGCTGGAATTGAGCGACGCGTCGGGCGCGTCTCGGATACCTTGTTGGATACCCCAAGGATTTTTCTCTCGTTATACTGCCACTCACGTCATAGCACTCTGATCGCCAATGTATGCAAATGGCTCTAATCTCATTGGAGGACACATTCATTGCACTCGGAAAACTCGCATGAATTTAGATACAATGCATCCAGGTGCACCCCCTGCATAGCTCATAGTGGAGAGGCCGGATTGTGATGCTCAGGGACCACTGATGCCGTCCCTAACCTGCCCCATCCAAATCGAAGAGACGCTGTCTAGTAGATGCGGAGTGTGAAAGACGCATCCCATCGTGCTGTGCTCATGCGACCTGCCCGGATTATCCGAGGTTTACTAGCGCTAGTACACATGAAGCCTTTTTGCTGATTAGTGGGATTACACGACGGAAATATTGCACAAAAACAGACCTAGACTTCAACCCGAAACATACACATACAGGTCAAGTCTCTCGACGAACACCGCGTTCAGGTCGCGCACGGGGGGAAGGCACAGGGGGCGCAGAGAAACGACCACGAAGCTGAGAGACAGGTTGCTCCAGGTGATTTGCTAATTCTCTTGCCTGTAAATCGTTATGATCATGACATCAAAGACAGGAGTACAAAATGCACCTTGGCTTCCAACTCTTGCCATGAGACTGACTCCTCTGCGTTGAGCGCAAGGAGCATCGCCGGATCACGCTCCTCCGAACCGTTCTCGGCGTTCACAACATGGGGCGGTCGTTCTATTGGTAGTACGAGCAGCCTACCTAGCTATGCACCAAGCTTAAAACAAACGGGCAGGAAACATGAAAATGCATACCTCGCTATCCACCATCCCAATGCCATGTCCCTTCGTTTCCTGCCAGACCTCCCCGCTGAGGCCAACAATGACCCGAACGTCGTCTTTCGGCTTGTACGCGTCCGCAGCGAATGAAACCAAGTGCCCTTCTGGAGTGAAGAGGACTACCGTGTGCAAATCCGGGAATGAGAGGACTTGAGAGAGCAGGGCACGTAAGTTGGCAAGATTGAGCATCGCAAACACCGAAAGACCTGCAGTCCCGCACAAGGCCCCGGAGACACGCCGATCATCGACCGGGGTCCCGTCCGTGAACAGTTTCTAGCGCTGACTACCTACCTACTTCTACGTACGCACTACGCTGCTACTATACGTAAAAGAGCCCAATTCATTGCTACGCAAGTACGGTAGTGTATAGTCGCCAAGATACAATATTCACGGCTTTCAGGATTGAGAAACTAAGGACATAACGCGATTTTAAGCATAATTAACGGGAGGCGAGGCAAGGGCAGCTAACAGAGCCACCACTTGTTCGAACAAAGGCCGGAACTCATACTGAGACTGAATAAAGTAAGCGGTGGCCGCAAAGCATATCATTGCCTTGGCTTCTGAGACTGCTGTGATACCAGTTAAACGGGCTCCAAGATAATCGTGTCGCTACGCACCAAATACGCCATAAGTTGCTGGTATCCGGGCTGAGACACTGAAGGCATAGCAGAGACACCAGGGATAGGCGGCGGAGAGGCCATCATCTGCTGTGGCGGCATATTATACTGAACCTGCTGGTGTGGCATTGAGGGAGGCGGCACTTGCTGTTGCTGTTGCTGAACCTGACCATTCTGTTGCAGCAGAGCGAGTAAATTAGGAGGTAAATTTGCCAAAACACTAGGAGGGGGCTGAGTCGGCTGGGGCGTGGACGATTGGCCTGGCATATGGGAATAAGGGTTGCTCCCGGGCGCAGGTGGGACTCCATTAGGTGGGAAAGGAGGATGTTGCTGTGGGATGGGTGGCATTGGTGGCTGGCCATAATAGCTGTTTGTGGAGGGAGGCGCTTGCGGCATTGGTGGCATTGGTGGAGGAGGTGCTGAGGTAGCCGAATGATTAGCAGAAGGAGAGCCACCTCCAGGCTGCTTCAAAGCCGCTAACAACTACGAAAGAGTGAGTAATATTTACAAGATGAGCAAATTTGCCTACCTGTTGTACTTTTTTAGCCTGCTCGAGGCGCTCATCGACAGGCTGCAAAATTATTGAGCTCCTAGACCAGCACTCAAATGAGGATAGCTCACCGGGGCAAGAGGAGGTTGAGAATATGGAGCTGGAGGACCTGCATTATAGCCGGAGGGACCCGCAGGGCCGGGACCAAATCCTCCGCTCGTTCTACTGTCGAAGCCACCGTCAAACCCACCACGGCCGCCGCCGCCGCCACCACCACCACCACCTCGACCACGCCCATAATCGTCATCATATTGGCGACCCCTCTCCCGATCTCG